TTACTAAGATGACAATTAGTTAACATCTTGATATTAACTATAGTAGGATTCATTTTCCTTAATATTCTTCCTTGAGTATTAATTAATTCCTATTCATATTTCATATTAATATTTTTGAACATTACTTAAAGGATCAACTAGTTTTGTGTTAGTCTCCAATTTTGATAGATTTTGATGATGCCACTATACTAAACAAATGTACATTAAGTCTTATTTTCAGAAGTAACATTTAAATTTAAATCATAAGTGACAAAAATAAATGTACAATCTTTAAGATTAATGATATATTACCGGATACATAAAAATGCAATAAGGTAACTTTTTACCTTCATAGGATATTTAAATCCTACCGGCATATATCATTTTACTCAAAGATTAAATATAGGTCACATTTGAGATGCTCGAATACATTGAATATTGATTGGAAGACAAAAATTAAATACACGGTCCTACAGCATGGGAGGACTTCTTGGAGTGAAGCTGCAGCGGCTGAAGACACACCCATACCGCAGCCCAATCATTCAAGACAGAAAACAAAAAGATTAAAAGCTCCTGCACAAGAAGACAAATGTACAATTCGTCCTTGCCAGACCCTCAACGCACAAGATTAATCCATCTCAACCAACGGATGAGATTGATCAACCATGAAGGCCTATAAATATAGGTAGAAGCATGAGTTCAAAAATAAGCTTGAGCATCCTAAGTGGAGAAATACTTTCATCAAAGCATATACGAGATATCTAGCAAAAGAGAAAGTGCAAACTCAACTTTACTCTCTGCTTAGCCTCATGCTTCACTAAGCTCTTAGATTAGATCAATACTTTTACATTTTTAGAGCTTAGTTCATAGTTGGAGGTTAGAACTTTCTTGTAACATTTCACAAGTGGTTGTAAACACTTAGGAGAACAGTTGTTCGAATCCTAAAGTGTAGTTAGATAGATAGAGTACCTTTTGATCCCCACTGGATCAATTGAGAAAAGTCTAAGGACTGAGTAACTTTGAGTGGTGTTATACTCATTGTGAAAAACCTTCAATCTAGGCCTAAGAGTTGTAAAGGCTAGATTGGCACTAAGTGTATTGGGCTGAATACTTTAGTGGAAATCCATTTGAAAGAGAATGGGACTGGACGTAGGAGGATTACACCACCTCTGAACCAGGATACATCGTGTGTTGATTTCACTTCATTCAACAAAACACACACCCAGCACTTCTCGTATAAAGATTGTAGTTTGCCAGCAGCATCTTAAGCAGTTGTCTTAATTGACCCAACTGCTTATCCTTCTGCTTAATTACTCACTCTCTTTGAGGCTATCTCCACACAGTTCACTTGCTAAAGCATTACCAAAAAGGTTGTTCTATCAGTTCTCGGAAATTCACTTTCAAAGTATAGCAGGTGCCTCAGCAGTCTCCTCAGTACCACCCAACTGCTGAGACCACTGCTCCAGTTAAACTTCATCTTAACCTTACTTAAGTACCTTTTCAGACATCTTTCTTGCGTTCTAAACAACGTTTCATCATCACTCTCATCATAAAGACAATATTTCTTTAGCAGTTACCTCAGCAGGTTCCTGCTACCTAGTCAACTGCTAAGCTAACTGCCAAGCCAACTGCTAGCTATCTAAGTCCAATCTTCCCAGAATTAGAAAGCGGTCAAACACTCATTACATAAAGGGTAAAGACTTCCGCTGTGCATCTGTTAATCTCTCAAAACGATTATAGAGCAATTCATCTAGAGGGAAAAATTCATAAAGTTGAAAAAGATTTAAAAGTCTATTCACCCCCCCCCCCCTTCTAGACTTTTACCCTATCCGGGACCATCATTTTGTTTCAAATATTAATTATTACTAGAAACGATCAACGAACCGATGGTTAATCGTTGATGGTTTCACAAGTGAGTAACTTCGGTTTATTAATGCACGGTCGTGGTTAGTAAACTTAAGAGGGATTAATTTTGTTGGTTAAACCGAAACCGTTGTGTTGAGGTTATCAATCTCAATTGATTTCATCAAGGAGTTAAGAGATTAAATGCTACTATCAAGTAGGTATATGGCGTTGTTCTATACTTGACTAATAGTAAGGGTTATTAATGAACGGTCGTTGTTAATAACTTTCCTCGATGAATTGGATATACTCCTCGATTGAGTATTCGAGAGGAGATAAGTTATAGATATAACAATGATCGACTGAAATATATCAACAAGTGGAAAGTAGCAATGCCAAGTCCTTTTTATCTTTGAATTAAATCACATATAACTCGTTCATCTTCGTGTTTAATTTAATTAAATCATTCACCAATCAAAACCCCCCTTTATTTACTATTTATATAAAAAGAAAGTTATTCCTTTCCCTGTGGATACGAACTCTACTTCACTATACTACGTATTAGTGCTAGTATTGAATTTATTTTGACGCACCGTGACAAAGTGCACGTCACACATTCATTGAATAAAGCCATTGTTTAAAAATTGTTAGGCGCTAGTGGATGGGGTGGTTGAGGAACGCCTAGTGCATATATAGGCGGCCGACTATGCCAATTTTTTTACCGACAAGGCCAATTAATCCTATACCGTTAGGGCCGCCTAGGCCGAGTGTTAGAACAATGAATAATACATAGTGCTGTTTTTGAAAAAATGAACGGCTTACTTCAAAATGAATAAATTTTAATTTCTTTTTTTTATATCATTAGGACTACATAAATCTTATTTTAAATCATTCAAAAAAAAAATCCTATTTTAAAATATATATGACATAAGTACTCCTATTTGTGAGCTTAGTTCAAATTTAGTATGTTTTTAATTGGATTGATCTTAGGGGAAATTGACTTTGCACCCCATCCCATTTTGAAAAAACTTTGATTTTGCACCCTCAACACATAACTTTATGTAATTTTTTTCATAATGTGATGTAAGTCAAAGGATTGTTAAGTAGAAAGGTATAAATGTCCTTTTTTGTCTTTTTATCCTTTAACAGCTAATTAACAAACATCTTTCGCGTCATACTAATTTAGTTTCTTCATCAAATAATGTCATTCCTAACAATGACATTCTTGAATAATTGTTCTATTATATTCAAATAGAAATTGAATTCTTCTCCCATCTCGATGGGAGAAGAATACTTGACAGATTGCTTGGTGTGTTACATTGAGAATGATGTATTTGTTAAAATTGAGAATGAAGTCATTATGCCTCTCAATGAATCTCCATCATTTAATTTGCCGCGTCAGGTTCTAATCAAAATTAAGGTTCTCCTTAAGTAGTTGTTTTATTTAGATTTTATAGTTTTGTTTATTGCTATATTCGTGATGCATATAATTCTTTTAGAGTAGTACATAGTATATGATTTCTTTGTTATTGTGCCCGTGCGAGTCAGGAGTCCTGTTTCCGCCATTGTTTTTTGCAATGGTGTCCCAAATATCATTTTGCTCTGGATCCATGAATGCCTAGTTCCGAGGGCCGCTGCAAATCTGCAACACATATTCTCATGTTCGTCTATGCCAATGCATATGTTTAATTTACAATATCGATCAAACTATCAGAGTAACATATATGAAATGTAATAATTAACGAAAACTTTTTTATTTACTACCATACGTTATTTTCTTTTATACTGGACATCTGATAGTATCGAACTAAAATGTACAAGTATTGAAGCAGTAATAAATAACCACTAAAAGTATTGGATCGAATACAAGGAATGGTAGTTTTTGCGATTCAAGGTAAAAAAGGTATTGACATTGAATGACATTAGTGGGTGTTACTCTGACACATCAAAATTAATTATTACATATACTCACATACCATTTAGCATCTTAAAACGCTATAGGTAGATAGCACCAAGAAGTATAATAAATAAGCATGTAAATAATGTAAGAGTTGAATATGTAAGATTAAAAGACGTTTTATTATAGAAAAAGAAGTTCATAGCTAAGCACATTGATCGACCCCTCTTTTATTTCTAGCTATTTTCTCTGATATGCTTATTATAATCACTCTTCCGTTCTGACTATCGTAATAACTAATAAGTATATTATTTCAGTCAAGGCAAGCGATTCGGCGGGTACACTTAATTAATAGCGCTGGAGCGGAAGAGGACGTCCAGAAATGAAAGAGGAGAGTAAGATGAGTGACTCGGCGGGTTTAAAAGTAGGCACATCATGTCCAGCTCCTCTAAACGTCACAAATGTCAGCCCTTTGTACTCTTGAACCCATCCACTCACCTGAATCCAACAATTCAAATTTAGCCTTGCATAATTAATTGATGGGAGATTGTTCCTAAAAGTCATACTTTGAAAAAACTTTCCAACAAAAACTTACTACGATATATATGTTTTGCTAGAATACATATCATTGTATATACTTTAATCTTGGGCATTACTACGAAAGTAAGCCCAGGATTCAACCATTTTGAAAAAATGAACGGCATACTTTGAATCGTAATGCCCAGGATTCAACCATTTTTTTGCCAGAATTTAATCTTGACTACAAATTAGAACTCCCAAAAATTGAATTTTAATGAATCATATTTTCTTAGCGAAAACTTAGCAATAAAGCAAGCAATAATGAACTGAAAAAAGTCATTTGGAATTGAATCTCCTTCTGCAACCTTATTAAAAGAGAAGTAGTATTACAATCAGTTTTCGGAAGCTGGTCTCTCCCAGCTTCCAAAAATCTGCGTCCAGAAACATTTTGAAGCCCTCAGAAGTACTTATGCACTTTCACCCAATATGTGCTTCTGCTACCTGAAGGAGCAGAAACAGTTTAAAAAGGTAGATCCAACCAATCATCCAAACACCCCCTAAATCATACAGAGTATATGTATATCCTATCTAAAGACTAAGGGCATTTATTACTTGTGTTTGGTAACCATGTTATAATTAAGATTGAGTTTTATCACTTGATTGTTTCACCAAACACGTAACTTATGTTTTCGCTCGCTGGATCGTATAATAATCAAAATAGGTAATGTTGGAATTCTTAATCATATAGTTACATTTTACGTACCTGTTTTCCATAGTACCAGGGTGTCCATGATTTGGTAATAGGAAGACGCAATACACCTATGCTGTATCTAGTAGATAATACAGGGACTCTTCCATCAGTATCTCCACTGAATAAGTCAAAAATAACATTATATTAGGGCACAAATTTTCACTTTAACCACACACTGAGTTTAACAATTGGGGTAATTAAACTAGGCGAAATTTACACCAATAAACCCCACTTTTCACTACAAAAAAAATACAGGATTGACACAGATTTTTGGCAGGGATATGCCAAATTCGTGTCAAAAATAGTTTGGCACGAGCTATTTGGCACGAAGTTATCGAAAAATCCGTGCTAGATATGTGTCAATCAGTACAAAAATAATCCCTACTATTAAATTTCACAAAAATATTCCATACTAGTTATTTGTTTCACAAACATAATTCGAGTGCTCACAGTGTTAACTTTTCCGTTATTTTTTTTAATTTCGGATAATATCGAAGCAAAAATATGTATAACAATTAATAAGATTATATTTGAGTTTAATCTTTTTTTCTATGATAAATTTAATTTAATATTTTTCATAAGATATAATAGATATATACGTATTAAATATTGAATATTCTACATAATTTGTATAAGTATTCAATGTAATATTACTATAACTACTTTGTAATCTCTATTATAATGAATAACAAAAATGAATTAAAATAAAATATGGATAAGGAATAAAAGAGAATAGAGACTTCGAAGAGTATGTACTATGTAGTGTTCAACTATTTTTATTATGTTTTATGAAAAATATTGAATATTAAACTAAATTTTTAGTAGAAATAAAACAAGATTACTCAAATATAATATTGTTAGTGATTATGTGTATATATATATATATATATATATATATGATTCAATATTTTAATATAAAAAATTTCGGAAAACTAAACACCGTTAGCATTTGGTTTATTTTTGTAAAACAGTTAACTAGTTAGAGTTATCATTGTGAACTTTTCAAGTAGGGATTATTTTTGTAAAATGTGTAAAAGTAGGGATTATTGGTATCAATTTCGCCTTTAAACTATGTAAACATTTTGTTGTTTTATTGAAACAATATTTAAACTACATTGATCATGACCGAAAGTTGGCAGTCTTGCACTAATAAATCGATAGTATTTTTTAAGAACAAACTCTTAAATTAGGAGTCAAAATCTAAAATAATGTGATCTCACTGAATATAGTGTTTTCTAATTAAATAAGAATTTAGTATCAGAAATCATATTGTTATATTATCACATAAGAACATAATTATACTTCGTAGTATTTTTATCATATTTATTTTAAGGAGAAACATATATAGTTATACTCTCTCCGTCCCGCTATGATTGTCTTATCTTTCAATTTCATAATGTCCCACTAAGATTGTGTCATATCAAATTTGATAACTTTTGTAGATCTAAATCATTCTTACTTTATCAATTTAATATCAATCACATTAATTCATTTGTTAATGTCTGTTTCACCTCCTCAGGTTTCAAATGGTAGTGGAGCGAATTGAAGGATGTAGTACTAAATCCATGGTACTAGTCGGACAATCAGACCTCTTAATTATTTTCCCATTCCTTTTGGCGTACAGGGGTTGAGTCCATATATTATACGGCGTTCACCATACAGTTGGGGGCATTTTTTGTAATTTAGGTGAAAAATGTGGTTTCTGTAAATTGAGCATCAATGCACTTTTATTGAGCATCAGACATATTCTATTGAGTATTAGGAATCTAACATTGAAAATCATGATCTCTGCTTCATATCATCTAACTCACTTCTTTTTTCGTTGATGAAAATTTCTCAAATTAAATCTATAAACAACTCTTGTGAGTTCCAATATGTAAATCTAATTTAATATTATACTTTTGAAATGCGCATTAATATGAAAATAGTAAGCTATATATGCTAGTTTAGAATCAAGACATTTTCATTGAACATCAAGCCTCCCTAGCTCAGTTATTGAACAGTAAAATCATGCAATTGAGTATTGTGATCTCTACTCATATCTTCTAACTCAGTTTCTTATTATTAGTTTTTCTTTCGTTTTCTTTTGTAAATATTTCTTAAAATCCATGATTTTTTTTATATCTTGCAATTGAGTATTTTGAAGAAATCAGTCCACTTTTTGCTATGAAGAAAAGTTTTGATGTATTAACAAATGTGACACCCGGCGTCATTTTTATCCAACTTAATGTATTTTTGACATATTAGATCCATTAGAGATCACAAAGCTGACACAAAAGATTTTTTCTAATTTTCATGGTTAAGCCACTTTTTTACTTGAACCAAAACATTTGTGCATATGTGTGTAGAGTTTTATACTCCGTATCAATTAGACCTCAAATGAAAAACTAGACCAGATGTATTTTTAGAGTAAGCACTCTTCTCTTTTGATTAAAATTATATACAAGTTTCGGTAAAATAAAAACCATTACATCTTCCCATTAAAACTGTGAGCATTTTCACTTTTTCCCCAATCCGATGCATTATTAGGTTATAATGTTGCAGTTCTTCGCATTGATAGAAAACTTTGATAGTTTATGAAAATGTCACCACATCTTTTAATTATCTACTGCTTTTTGGCATGGCTCGTCCAAAGTTCAAAAATGGAAAGAGATCAGCCTTAAAGTGCACCAAATTGAGTAAAGTGTGACGGTTTGCAGTTTACCTGAAAAGAGTGATTTTTATCGGAACACCACCCTAGTTATATGTATATAGGGTGCGGTTCCAATATTAAAACGAGTTCTTCCGATGGAAAGTGCGAACGAATGAATGTTTACTCAATTCAATCTGATGCGGTGTTAAAAGTTTATGTTGCACTTACATATTGTGACAGAAAACTTTAGTTTATTTACCAAATTTTACCTCACTTTTATCAAATCTATTGCATTGCTCACTTATTAGTTATTATGAGCCATTAGATCTCAAATTAAATGAACAAGACCGGAACTCATTTTTCATGGGAATTACTCTATATATTTATTTCAAAACCTTATATATAAGCGTGTTTACGGAGTTGTATTAATATGTGATGAAAGTAGTGTTATTATAATGGGTGATATTGTAGTGGAAATTGTTACATGCTTTTTTCTCAAATATAATAGATGATACATGATTGGAATCCCTCCTAATATCTTTGAATTGGAAGCAAAAAATCGCTTCTACAAAGCATTAAACCGGCTTAAAACGAAGTTCAATAGTTTTGTTTTGAGAACTTTACTTTAATAAATAGTTGACAAAACATTTTTAATTATATAATGACAAATATTCTTACAAATACATAATATAAATTGATCGAATCTTTGTAAATATTTACAATGGCAACTTACATTAGTTATAATTACATAATTCACCCGAATTCCTTTTATGATTGACATAATTTGAAAAAATAAAAATTTGGCCCATCTATATTTGTTTCTCCAAATGGCAAATTTTATCTACCAAGAAATTAGGAGTACTACGTATTACTACAAGTCACCCTTCAAATAGAATCCTGAACACACTACACATAACAAATTAGAACTCCTAATTAATTCGGACAAATGTATTTATTTGATCAGCTATACATTTGTAAGAGAATTGTTATGCACATATATATATGATATATGGTACGTAGTACGTCATAAACGTATTTATTTACCTGTAGACCCATATTTTAATTCCTGCAGCCATGAGGTTTCGATATATGGGTAGAACAGATTCTGGTGATTGTTCCCAATCCCAAGTGTTGTAGATCGAGTTACTATGCATGTATGTAGTAAATTTGTAATTAGCGCAGCTGGTATACTGTAGATAATATGATGCATTGCAATATTGCATGTGTACTAAATTATTACGTACTTGCAGGTACTCCACTTTTTAATGTGTAGACCATCACTTGCATGGAGGGCCTTCTGAACGTCTCCTCTATTGTAATAAGAAGTGGTGTAATCATCTAGACACGGGTCAAATCGGCTCCCATATCTTCGTGTTGGCACCTGGAAAAATCAATACTAATGTACTTCATTCATTTTTTAGTTGCAATTGTCCAATTTTGACATTGTCAACGCACATGTTTGACCATTCATATATGTCATTCGTTTTTAGTATAAAAATCATATTTTGAATATTTAAAATGAGAAGAATTTAACAAGCAATCTTTTTACAACATTTAATTTATAATACTTTAATTAATAAAATATAGTCAAAGTAGTGTATGTGAATAATGTAAAATATATCAATGTTGCAACTTAAAACGAACGGGGTACTATTAATATATTGGAGTACGTAGTAGAGCCAGAAATGTACTCTTAGGGAATAGGGAGGCCAGATTTAAAAACTTATACGAAGCATTAGTGATATAAGTCTATTTCATTTTATTTTAGAGCTAGTCCTTCTATTGCTGATGATGGGGCAAGAAATCTAAATATGAAACCAGAGTCAGTCATATATATTTTAGGTGTCGCACGTTTCAATACATAAATTTCTAATGCCTTTAAATACTTTGTTTTTTACCTCGAGGCCTAGGGGCCTGAGGTGAACTGAGATCAAACTCACTTCATTGAGTATTTAACCCAAGACTTCCCATTTGAGCGAGTAAGTCGGAGTCCAGCTGAGCTTGACCGCTTCCTCACCTTTAAATATTACTCCCTCCGTCCCCCTAACTTTGTCTCGTTTTACCTTTTTCGTCCATCCCATTAAGTTTGTCTCATACCATATTAGGTCATGTTTGAGTGGTTAGAATTCATTCTTACTTTATTCACACTTTATCATTCAATATCAAATACATAATTCTACTTTTTCTTAAAAGCCACACCACACCCCTTTGTCCCAAACATAGGAGGAGGGAGGTAGTAGTTAATAAGTACTCTATTCAATTTCATAATTAATGGGACATGAAAAATAGATACATCATACATATGGATGCATCTAAGCATATCGTACGTACCTTCTTGAGAGATAATGGTGAGATGGTGAAAGTGACTTGGGATGATGAATTCTCACTGTTTAAGCATTTGGGTGTATAGAGGCTGTACATATCTATCGCATTGTATTGCTTATACATTTCATTTAAAGCATCAGCACAGGTCTTATCATTCCACAAATCAGAGCTATTAAAATCACAATTATCTTTCACTATTTTGTAGGTTTCGTCTGAGATTATAGCATGGCTCCAAGCATAATCCACTATACCCCACCAGTCCTCTAAATTTGATGTCTCAGGGTTGCCCATCTGCATGCATGCATGCAATTACATGTTAGTTGCATTGGTAAAATATTAATTTGATAGATTAATTAACCAATAACTAATTGGTCGGTTTTGATATCTATCCTGACCCACGAGTTATAAGTTAGATGAAATTTCTTTAAATATGAACAAAATGTAGAATAATTTCTCAAATAGGATTATATTGTTTTCTTGCCGAATTATTTCTCAAATAGGATTTTGTTGTATAGGTCTCGTCCCTTATCTATTTAAAAACTTTGTCAATGTTTTTATGCTAACTATCTAATGCAATTTGTTTTAAATTAAAAGTATGTGCCACTCGATGGGTGTATATTTACTTTGAGGGGTAGAGTAGAGGGCCATGTTAGGCCTCGAAAAACCCCAAAATTAGAAAAAACTCTTAATATTAGTGTATAAATATTCCTGCAAAAATTTATCAGTCAATCCGATCCCAACATATACCTCTGAGATGATTATTGAAGGTAAAATGGAGATTCATGCATTATATGAAAGATATATTAATGCCCTTAAAAAGAAGTCAGACATAATTTTGAAAAGGCCTAAAAAGAAAGTTTTTAGGACAGAGAGAGTGAATATTAATACCATTATTCCTTTAAGATGAATAGGAAGAGTATTAGAAGGATCTTTGTTTTTGCCAACAATGAGATCAGCCAACTCAGGTATATATTTCCCTGTGATGGTCATATGAAAACATCGTCAAATAATATCATACTACGTATTAGAAATTTATCAAGTACAATCATTACACTAAAAAGTTTAATTTGTTATGTACCTGCATAACTCTCCCCAGCTATAAAGAAGGATTGGTTTCTGTAAGTTGGGAACTTCTTGAACCAATTGTTCAGGAAAGTGTATGCATCGTTTGCTATACATGCATGTATATATAATAACATGGTCATAGAAACGTGTATATACAAGGATTAGATAAACTCTTCAATTAGTTTTCCCAAAAAAGATTATTAATAAATGATTAGTACTGTCTAATATAATTATATGCGGAGTATATTGCGGGAAAGATATACATACTAGCAAGTTTATCTCCTAACTTCACATAGTCAGTACTTGTATTTGTATATGAGAAGCCTACACCGATTGGAGATTCCAGGAACAATATGTTTGCTTCTGCATGTATGCACGCATCATTAATTATTAGTTAGTTAAAGAAATTGATCAAAACATATCGGACTAAGACATTGTCAAAATTCTAAAATACCAATAAGTAATTATCTTATCAAAATGTGACTTAATTTATGTAGCTAGTCCTATTAAAATACTCTGTATAAAATAACAAAACTTCTGTTTATAAGAGTGAATAACAACCCATTGGTTCCTATTTGAGGGGGAATATATACTTGGTGACAACTCCGGTACCTTTCTAAAAACAGAGGTACCGTACCTAGCATTCATTTGATTGGACCACATCACTTTATCAATTTTAATTGAGATTTAAATAATTCAATTGCTACCTTTTCATTGGTCCATGTGGACAAAGGTATGGTGCCTTATGGGTACCATAGAAACTACCTATATACTTATTCTTATTGGAGAATTGTTTTTGAATTACTCTTACTTAGAGAGTTTTCTAGTGAAAAGATCTTTGCTTACTTATGGGTTCTTAATTGTGTGTGTTGCATTAATTAAGAAAAGATCATGAGAAAACACATTAATTGATAAAGGCAATATTTCAATTCTATTATTGCATTAATTATGTGTGGTGTATTCCTACGTGTATAATTACATTTACTAATTTATCCTTATATATACTTATGGTTCATTATGTTTAAATTTAAATTTTTAGATATTAAGTAACAACTACCTCAACTAATATAATGTATATTTTATATTTTAAAATAATACTTTGTGTTTGAATTTTAAGTTTTAGTTATAGTTTTTCAAGATTATTTTTCTGTAAATATTTTTTGTGTACGTAGTGAGCTATAGACCTAAACATTATGAGCATATTAACCATTTTTAAAATGTTATACGATAATTATACTATTTTAAGTGTTAAAAATTGTTTATATAATTTTGAAAATTTGAAGATTTCTCGGGTCGGGCGTCACAGTGGACTACTCGGCCCAATCTTGCCTGCGGATATGGACATGCGGGGCGGACACGCCCACATGGGCCACACCAATGGGTAGAAAATTTTAAAAAGCCCGGTCCGAGCCTGTTTTTGTGCAAATCCATTCAAACCTGACCAAATCAATCCTAAATATACCAGATCAGATCAAACCCAACTAGACCAGAATATTTCAGTCTAAGTAAAAAAATCGTAAGACATTGTGTCTTGCCTCAAATATATTATACGTAGTATATTATATACTCTACTACTTATATTATACGATAGTATATTTTTACACCATAACGCTTATATAGTTGCTACCAAAATTATTATTTTAGACATAAGCTGCCTCCATCTAGCATGGCAAAAAAACCCACCTCTCTAGACCAATATGCGATTCCAGTTAAACCAGAACACAAATTGAACCGCTGAGTTTTTTACCGGAACCGCATACTACTTCCAGTTTGGAAGCAGAGGTTTACTGCCCCTATTCGGTTTTCCCAAAAAATGGAACGGAACCGCCGATTTGGGTTCAGAATCTGTTAGTTATGGTCAGAACCGACCAATTCTAGTTCAGAACCGATCATTCCGGTTCAGAACGAACCTCTTTCTTGACTAATTATTTAATATTAATATGAATACTAATAGTACCAATATACTTGTATAATAATATATAATCGTGATAGACTGACTAATAATGGTATTAGTTCTTCTAATAATAGAAATTACAATTATAATTGTTACTAACTACACCTCATTAGTTATAACTCCGTACAAGTTATAAACTTATAATACTTTTTTATTAAAATTATTAATAAGAAGTATACATAATATATTATATTAATATCTAAATTATTTTAAATTGCGGGTTTATGATGTGAAATTATATAATATATTTGAAGGGAAAATAATTTAAATAATATCTCAAACTTTGAACGGGTGTGAAATAGGTACCGTAAACTTGCACGTGTAATATATACTCTGAACTTGATATAAAATGTATGTTAGTACCATTGTTATATGTTTTTCTTTCAAAAATGTAAATTTATGCAGATCTTGGGTATATAATTTAAAATACCCAAAGCATTTATGATGATGTAATTAACATTAGATTGAACTTGTTGCTATGTCATTTATTGTACATTTATTTTGGGTTACATTTTTTTGTTCCTAGTACGTGTTGGGCCAAGAATAATTCGGCCAGAGGAATTAATTAAATGAAGAGAAGCAGCCCACGATGAGGAATATCCGAAGCAAGAAGCGGTCAACCAAATTGGATAAGATGAACTTAATGGCTAAGCATGAGGTGGGAGCATCCAACTTAATAACTAAAGCTACGGATCAGGAGGCATTTTCGCCAGGTAGTTAGACCAACCCACGTAGCATAGCTCTTTATGATAGATATATATAGCTATGTTCACCAGGAGGATGATTCACGATCATTGGAGATCATACACACACTCAAACTCAGCTATTATACAAACACATTACACACACGCATACTTATAAAAATATATACTACTTCTTCTAGCTTCATTCCAGGAGAAGATACATACGATTAGTTTATCAATTACTTTGTATTCCAAGCATACTGAAAGAATCATTCTATATTAATATTATTTCCTTGCTCGTACTTATTGCTACCTTCAGTCATAATCGTTTTCTCCTTGCTTGATTTCCAAACCCATTAATTACTTAGATTAGTAATTTCTTGTTAAAACAATTGGCGCCGTCTGTGAGAAATTCTTGCAAAAAGAGAATCAATTATGGCCGAAAGTTCTAACTCCCTGTTTAATGAGATTCAAGCAAACTAGAAGCCGTCCGAGAAGAGCTCCGCGCATCAAAAAGTTCCGACGCGGCACAATTAGAAGCTATCCGGGAGGAAATGCGTCAACAAATGGCCTTCCTCCAAGGTGAAAATGACGCTTTGAGATCTCAGGTGAAATCGGTGGCATCCATAGCCTCAAGCTCACGACGGGGCGAGGATGTGGCTACCATGGCAATGAGACCGGACATGGGTTCGATTCCGGCTTCAACGGAACCTTTCATCCCTCACTTCGGGGCCGACACATTTGGAGGAGCAGGGCCCTCAACTCATTCCATTCCACCCCCAAATCCCAGAAGGAACATATTCCGAAATCTGTTTGCAGAGCCCCAGAGACAAATTGTTTCAAATCATGTCAACATTCCCAGATATGTCGTCATCAACAACCATAGGCGACAAGTTCCAAGCCATGTCGACATGTCCAGACGTGTCGACATCAACAATCAAAGGTGTCAGGAGCTAGAGGTCGTCACCGTACATTCGCCAACCGAGCGGAGGATAACTCAGACAGAAATGCCTCCTGAAGCAGCGGGTCCACAGATACAAACAAACTTGACAGATCCCTTGGCATCATGGAAGAACTGAGGGAATTGCGAGAGAAGATAAACAGCGTACCTGGAGTCCCACGTCCGCTTGACATGGCGACGCAAACCTGTTACGCAGACTCACCCTTCGGACGACATATCAACGATGTCGAGATTCTGAGGAAGTTCGCCGTCCCCTCAATGAGACTGTTCGACGGGACTATTGATCCGGTGGAACATGTCGCTCAGTACAAACAACAAATGTTGGCCGTCTCGGTCAGATCACATCAGAGAGAAGCTTGCATGTGCCGGGCATTTTTGACAACGTTGACAGGACCAGCGTTGACATGGTTCGTCAATCTGCCAAACGACAGCATCAATTCGTTTGCGAAGCTGGTCAATTTATTCAATCAACAGTTCGCAAGCAGCCGAGCCTTGGAGAAGCAGAGTAGCGACCTCTACCGAGTAGTCCAGCGACGGAATGAATCCTTAAGGGATTACTTGCATCGATTCAACAAGGAGAAGGTGTCAATCCCCAGGTATCACATACCGACGACAATTGAAGCATTCAGAAGGGGACTGCTAGAGGATTCGGAGTTATACCAGGAGTTGACGAAACACCCTAGTCGGTCCTTTGAAGATGTCCAAGTAAGGGCACTAGCTTTCATCCGTCTAGAAGAAGACTTACGATGTCGTCGCAGACAAATTGAACAAGATGGGGGGCACATAAAGTCAGAACCTCCCAGGAGACATGACTACAAGCATGGAAAGCCTTATTCGAGGCCTGAGGAATAAGTCGCCACTTCTGTGACAAGATAGATCAGATGACATGATCAAAGTCGTCGGACGGGGGGCATGTCGTCCGATGGTAAGCAGGTTCTAAAAGGCTACAGTACGGTACCTTTAAAGTTGTTTCACTTTTAGTTTATTATTTTCTTTTACATATTGTTGTCATTCCCGTGACGAACTAGACCAGTCGACATGATTGAAGTCGTCGGACAGGGGGGCATGTCGTCAGGTAATAAACCCGACGAGATGAGTGAAATCGTCTTACTACAGACAAGTTCTGACGATAGATATTTAGTTTCATATACATACTCGTAATTTATTACTTTCATTTATCTATAAACGATCACTAATTTAAGCATCAGAGGGCCGTTGGTTAAAAGCCAACGGCCAGACTCTGACAACATGTCTGTATGCAGGATATTGACGGAATGAGAGACAGCCAGTACTATACACACACAGCGACAACTGCTAACGATAACTAAACGCAATCCCCTTACTACGAAGCCTTACAACACGTCAAAACACAATTGACGGGGGGCTTACATCAAACAAAGACTTACAACACGTCAAAACACATTTGGCGGGGGGCTTACAGAATTTTAGGGGAAGAAATGGGGTTTTCATGTACGCTAAACATGAGTATAAACACCACCGATTCTCATCAATGGTTTGGCCAAAGCAACAGACAGATCATACATCACAAATGCTGACAACATCAAAGTCAGACAAACACAAAACAACAACACTACACGTACACGTGACATCATCATGTGGAACAACAACCACATTCGAAACTACAGAAATACACAACAGAAGCATGTGCTTCAAGAGCACGACAACACAAGCTCCAAAATATAAGGAGACAACATGAACAACATTGACATACATCATAAAT